AAGAATAAACCAAGAAAGAAGTGGTTCAGTGAATCCATACGTTTTCAATTTATTTATTAATAATTTATGATTAACCCTATCGAAGGCTTCTTCCATATCTGTATATATGACATCAGTTTGTGATTGCATTTCAAAAGAATCCAAAACATAACAAGTACAATACTTACTGATCCTATTAAAAAACAAAACAATCATATAAATAAATTTACAAGATTGAAATAAAATTATAAAATATATTTACTTGTGGATATGGTCCGATTATGCCTTGTACGTATCCATCATTGCGGTGTCCAGCCCTTCTCAAAAATCCTGTGAGGTCTTCATCTCTGTTGAGTTGTTGCACATAACCTGCTAACACAGTGGTAGTGTTCTCTCGTTCCCTCCATGATGCTTGATCTCTAATCTGAAATGTAATTATTATATATAATTAAGTTTATTTGTTGAAAAAATAACATATCTTTAACCAGCCCAAAAACCAATTTATGTTCAAATAAAAATTAATAATCACCCTTAGGTTTCTTCTGGCTTGATCAAATTCAACGAAATACTGATTTTCAAGGACAGTCAGTTTTTCTGTAAGCAAATCAATTGATCAGTAAAAAATAGTACATTGTAATAGTTTATATTATAATATAAGTTACAGCAAGACACATACATACAATAAATACACCATAACCATAAACAAAAATTAAAAAAATTACTAAAAATTAAATTTTAAAACAACATAGGTAATTTACTTACTTAGCTTACCATTAACTCCTTCTTGTTAGTTAGTTTACACATGACATAAATGAGATACACAAAAACACAAACATATAGGACAAGGACGCAACATTTACCAACACATCCTGTAAGCACTACTTCTTATGAGGTTAAACATGAAACATAAATAATACATATTATAATAATGATGATACTGATAACAACAAACATTTAACACAAGGATGCAACATATAAAACACGATACACCTTGTACTGCAAAAACTCACGAATAAAATTCCATATATTGGGATGTCTTTGCATTTGGGTTAGAAGTGTAGAATGGAAAGACTCCAAGTAGTTGTTGGTTCTATATTCTTCTCCAAAACAACTGATTAAACCTGGGCCGACCTGTAACAACCAAAAATATTGCACATACCCAATTAGAAAGTTTCTCATGCCTTGTTCAATTGGAGGAAATTGTCTTGTGTAGTCCATGATGGCATCGAAACCATCCTCCATGGAAAATGGACAGCGCGGGTCATTCCTGGTTGCGGGTAGGTGAGGTAATGCCAAAACCTAAAAACACAATGGTGTATTAAAGAGAAATACAATTGAATACAAATATTAAACTTAAATTTACCATTCTGAGAACTCGAGCAGCTACTGGGTTCGTACGGATTAAATTACAAACACTGTTCATCCTTCGGTGACAATACCGTACAATTGACTAGAAAAAATATTATTTTTTTTTTATATTATGATCACTTAGTGCACATAAGTTATTAAAAAACTACCTGAGTAAAATGGAACCAACAACATCTCAATTGGCTTTCCGGAAATGATTGTTGAACGGCTGACATCAGAGCTTTTTCATAATCTGTAATAAAACAAATACGTTGATAATTCAAAGGTAAAATATTTCTTACAATATCAAACAGAGCCGCATAGACTTCTTCAGTCATGCTCCCCAGTAGAGCATAGACCATTGGAAAGGACTAGAAAAAAAAATAAAAAGTAAATAGTGAGAAATATGTTAAGAAAAAAGAATTTAGATTATTCATAAAAAATATCAATTATCAAACACTTACTACACTTTTGAAAACCACCTGGATAGTAAGGAGACATTTCAAATCTGCTGGAACACGAGGCACAGTCTTGAACGTCCCATCAATCCCAACCAATGTCACAGTGGCCAATTCTTCTCTGTATTTGTTGACTGCATCCATGTTCGCAAAGATCACACCAACACTCCTTCCATTGACGACCAATGCTTGTTGAAAGAACCTAGTAATAATTTTTAAAATACAATTTTTAGTAATTTGGAACAGTTTACCCTAAAATAATTTAATACAATACATTATTAAATTTGTAACTGTATGGTTAAGTATTCACAATTACAAATACCATGGTACCAATAATTTTAATATTTGTTTTTAACTGAATAATAATTAGGTGCAATTTGCACTGTCAGCAACTAAAAAAACAATTTTCAGTATTCATTTATAGTATGGATTGTTATTCATATTCATTTATTTTATGAACGGATAAATAGTATTAAATTTAATAGATTTATAGTAATATAGACCTTTTCTGTATGGATATTTGTAGTATAAATGCTAATCTTGATAAATTAATTTTAATGCTTAGTAGTGTTAGTGGTAAGTTTGACGTAATAATATTAAGTGAGACCTGGATGTATATTGAATTTAATAAAATTATGGCATCACAATTTTTATTGAAAATAATTTTAAGCTCATAAGTATTTTAAATAAAGTAATATCTTGCAATAAAAATTGAATTAGATAAATTGAAAATTTCAGTAATAAGTATATACAGGTCACCACAAGATATTATTGATACCTTTATTTCCAATTTGAATACATATTTAGAACAATTAAATAATAATATTCACTATGTCATAGCAGGAGACATTAATATTAATGATTCACTAAATTCTACTGATTATCTTAATGTAATGGCCAGACAATTTCATATGTATAAATAATACTACTCGAGAAACCATAAATTTTAACACATTTTTTTACAAAAAATATAAATGTAATAATTTGCAAGCATGAATACTTAAATGTCAATCGCTGACCACTATGGCACAATACTAAGTTTTAATGCTCAACCAATAGACTTTAATCACAGGTAACAAACAAACTAAATTCGAAAATGTTGTTTACAAAATCAACATTAACATTAACTATTTAAATACAACTTAAATATAAGAAAGTGTTAATGTAATTAAAACAAATAGTAAAAACATTTTGGATTAAGAAGTTGTAGTAATACTGCAACTGAGCTATATATGTCATTAAATATTAATTTTTAATACTTATCAAAATATTTTTTGTTTTAAAAATGCTTTACTTAAAATCTTAATAACGACCAAGACATAAGGAGTATTAAGTATACATTGTTTTGTTTGAAATTTATAATTGTTATAATAGTGATAATACTGATAATAGTATACAGGGTGATTTTTTTATCTAAGAACACTCATTATTTCAAAAAGTATTAATGTTTAAGAAAATATTTTTTTACATAGTTTCAAGTTGTTAAAAAACAATATTTTTATTAAAAAATTATATTTTTAAATATTTTTTATCCTTTTAATTTTTAAGTTTTTTACTTTTTTGAATGACAACATCTAATTTTAATTTGATATTCAAAAACAGAATATTTTTCTGAGTATTTCGATACATAAAAATTGAATTTAGGGCAATTAGTTTATGAGTTATAAGTATTTAAAGTTTAGATGAGCGGAGTAGAGTGGTACGGGGTTACCCCGCGAAATGTTTGTCCTCTACTCCGCTCATCTTAACTTTAAATACTTATAACTCATAAACTACTTGCCCTAATTTTATGATATCTGTGATATTAATTAATTCAATTTTTTATATAGATCTGTCTATCTGCAATTTGCCTGCGATACACCTGCGATTCACTTGTGATTTACCTACGATTTACCTAAGTATTTAAAACTTTGAACATAGTTCATACTAAAACTTTGAACATAGTTCATACCAAAAACCCAGCTCGTGCTTTCGCACTTTATTGTTAAAACGTTTTTGTTTTGTTGTTACTTATTAAATTTGTTTTCAATTTCTTACCTACTATAAACATAACTACTCTTTTTTTTTTTTTTTTTTTTGTATTTTTGGTGTTCTGATTCTAGTTATATATTAATAATAATGGACAACGAGGAAGTATTTGCTCTCTAAGAATTTAGGGCAAGTAGTTTATGAGTTATAAGTATTTAAAGTTTAGATGAGCGGAGTAGAGGACAAACATTTCGCGGGGTAACCCCGTACCACTCTACTCCGCTCATCTAAACTTTAAATACTTATAACTCATAAACTAATTGCCCTAAATTCAATTTTTATGTATCGAAATACTCAGAAAAATATTCTGTTTTTGAATATCAAATTAAAATTAGATGTTGTCATTCAAAAAAGTAAAAAACTTAAAAAATTAAAAGGATAAAAAATATTTAAAAATATAATTTTTTAATAAAAATATTGTTTTTTAACAACTTGAAACTATGTAAAAAAATATTTTCTTAAACATTAATACTTTTTGAAATAATGAGTGTTCTTAGATAAAAAAATCACCCTGTATAGGTACTGTACATTTAAGATTTTAATAAGTGTTAACTTATAAATTTCAACATGAACTTAGAAAATTTTCTTAAATTTAGATTGAAATTAAAATTAAAAACAAAACAAATTTATTTTTTGTTATTCTAAATTAATAAATATTGAATACTAATATTACGGTAGTTATTAATGAAGAGTAAAGATACAGCATAAAACTAAGTAGTTTTATACTGTACTGTATTATACGTTCCAACCCTGATAAATAAAGATTAAATATAATTCATACAGCAAAAATAAAAAGACAAATAAATGTGTCCATAAAATATTATAAAATGTTGTAATACAATCATAAACATCTACCAGGAGTAGATAAATTTCTATATACTTATGTAAGTAATATGTACATTTTTTGTTGGTTAATTTAAAATTCAATAAATTAATATAAGATTCACATACACTATTACCATATATGGCTAATTATATAATAGCTTATTAGTAAGACTGAGGACTTAAAGTACTTCTAAACCTGAAAATATTATGCACTAAAACAACAACAAATAATACGCATTTAAAATATGCTCTAAAAAAATGTATGACTTTTGATACATACTTAAATTATACTATCAATATGAAAACAAAAATATAAAAAAAAGATAGTTTGATTATTTACTTTATACAAACTTGAAATTACTAATTAAGAGTTGCAGTATTATTGACCAGATAATATACAGTTTTGCTGCCATTAACCTAGTACTGTTATATTTTTAAATATTACATTTTCTAAACGTATACATAATATTATGCTCTTAATTTGGCAAACACCAACATGAAACTCTTAACATAGACAAAATATGCAAAATACAATTTGTAGTGTAACTTACTTGTATTATGATTTATGAAACATATTTATATTTTATACATCACTCAAGTTGATCTGCGACCTTTTAAGTTAAATATGAAAAACTAGAAGTCCTCAGCCCTACTTATCAGTTATAACTTAAAAACTTTAAACAAACAAATATATTTACCTAGATGGAGGATTTTGAACTGTAAGAGTGTAAATGGCATTTGGTGCTTCATTCAGTGCCACTGCAAGTTGTCCAATATCAAGGGGTTGCGCTGGGAATCTTCGACGTCTCATCTTTTTCACTCGTTCTTGAGCCTAAATAAATGTGTAGTTAGGAGCTGCTTCTGGATGGCTAACAAAACCAAAAAATCAGTTAATAAATAATTTTGCATTGTTAGGTACCTATAGTTAACTGAAACTACCTAATACTAACCTTATTACTAACAAGTAGTAAATAATAATTTAGTATATATAGATAACTTTGAATACGACTCACTTGATAATTTCGTTGTTGTACAAAGTTCTCATAAATAATGTTGTAACTGCTGGATCAATTCCTCTTTCACCTATGGTTTCCCTCAAAAACGGCACATTCAGGTCGATCACTCTGGGCGGATGGTCGTGGTAGAACCCTAGACGAATTCTGTTGTCGTTCAAATTTGCACTAACAGTTGCAGTGGAAGGGCAGTACTGGTTCCGTTGCTTCTGCCGTTCGCATACTAAATACCTATAAAATATAAAAACATTATTTATGATTAGCCATAATTTTATTATCATTACCCAAATAGGTAGGTAATTATATTGGATAAACTATTAAACATACACGCGTTGTCCTTTAGTTTCTAGTTTGTAATACTTGAATCCCAAGTTGTCAACATATATCCTCGATCGGTTATGAACCCTAGGAATCAATCTGTATGTTTCCGACACTCTGACCATTGGTTCCTCTTCCTCTTCTTCGTCCAATTCTTCTACTTCTTCTTCTTCTACCAATTCCTCTACTTCTTCTTCACGCAGTATATGATCATCTTCATATACAACTGGCAGGAAGTAGTCATGGTCAACCAAATGATCTGGGAGAGCAAATACTTCCTCGTTGTCCATTATTATTAATATATAACTAGAATCAGAACACCAAAAATACAAAAAAAAAAAAAAAAAGAGTAGTTATGTTTATAGTAGGTAAGAAATTGAAAACAAATTTAATAAGTAACAACAAAACAAAAACGTTTTAACAATAAAGTGCGAAAGCACGAGCTGGGTTTTTGGTATGAACTATGTTCAAAGGTTTAGTATGAACTATGTTCAAAGTTTTAAATACTTAGGTAAATCGTAGGTAAATCACAAGTGAATCGCAGGTGTATCGCAGGCAAATTGCAGATAGACAGATCTATATAAAAAATTGAATTAATTAATATCACAGATATCATAAAATATTTAATTAATATAATAATTTTTTTGGTTACATTTACATAATATTACAATCGTTATATGAACGATTTATAACATAATACATAAATAAGTATTCACTTTACATAATATTATACTGAAGTTGTTTCAGTTCAAAACATACATAATTTAGGTAATCAACATAAGATTAATTACTAATATTATTTTTGATGTTTTCCACAATAAATTAATTATGCATAAGTTTAAAGTTATTTGATACATCATCAAAAAATAGGCAATATTGTAGATCCTCCTTAACAGGCCAAAAAATGAATTCCTATCATCGCCATCATTAAATATTTATCTCAAAATATATTGAACTGAGGAGTTCACACATAGTAAAGTTAAAAATAGTGAACAGAAACTCAACTTTTCCAAACAAGACTGTTCAGTTTTTTAACACACAAACACTTTTATTTTTATTATTATTTTCTTGTACAACACTACCTCTACCAATTAAGGTCTATTCAAAATTTGTAAACATATTATTTAAAGAAAGTAAAAAGTTACTTAGGTTTTTTATTCTGGTATTAGTATAAATATAAACTTTTTGTTACTTAAATTATAGGGGTTATTATTTATATGATATCATATCTTAAAATTAAATTTAAGACATAATATTATGATTTATGCTTGACTTTGAATACTATTTAAATACTTTTTTAACTTAAAATAAGGGCCTACAAAACCCAGAATGGTTTGAAAATATTAATTAGTGACTAAGTTTTGATCTATAGTCGTCCTACAATAATCCCATTTTTTTGCACAATTAGTAGCCTTGAACAACACATCAAATATCCATTAAAATATGTTTAACCATGTAATACAACAGTTATGGTTAAGTTCAGTATTTCAGGAGTGTCATCAAAACAGCCATCGCCAGCCAATGACTAACAACAAGGTCCATGGTTTTTAATGCATGAAATTTATTTGGAACATTTTTGAGAGCAGCATTCTGTGTTTGAAAATCTGCAATTATGAAAAATTTAAATAATTTGTATCTTGTTACAATCAATTTGCATAATTCTGTCGAAGGTACGAATACCCAAAACTCTAGTATTTAACTTCAATATTGACATTAGAAAAACTGACATAGGTAATCATTAATTGTACACATAATACTTAATATAGAGTTATATTAATATTTAATAATTTGTAATTGTCAGTGGCATGTTTTATAAAATTATTTCACTTTTATAAGATAACTCCGCACCCCAAAAGTAAAATTTTAAATACTTACGTCACTGCGAAAGCACGATTTGGGTTTTCGGTATGAACTATGTTCAAAGTTTATAGAACGACAATAATGCGTAAACGGTAAACAATAGTAAGCACAGTAAGCACAGTAGGTAAGCAGTAGGCACTAGGCAGTAGTTAACAAATAACCATGACAAAATAGATTTAGTTCTATTTTGTCATGCGAATAACGAGAGTCAGTACGGCAAAGTTCAAGCGTTCAATGGCTGTCCATCCGTATTCCGTTCATCCGCTCATATTATGGGAAACTGGGAAAACCGCCGGCAAAAACCGTTAAAAAACACAACAAAAGCCATTAAGCAATAAGGCGGGAACAAATACATATTTTAATATGTATTTTTTCAAGGTGGTACATTTAGGAATACTAAATTCTGAATTGAAAATTTGAACTTATTTGATGTTGGCAAGGTCGGGTTATCATTCTTTTTTTTTTCCTCGGCATGAAATTTCGGGAAGAGTACCCCAAGCCCTTATAAAACATGATTAACAGGGCGCGCTCTAAGCTCAAAATTTAGAGAAAATGTAAATTTTTTTAGTTTTTTAAATATTATCACACAAGTTTTGGTTTTTTCTAAAAAGTCATAAGAAACTTTTTGTAGAATTTGTTATTTACTAAAAAAAAGTGTTCTTATAAATTTTTCGTACAGTCAATATGTTTTTGTAAAAACTAAAAAAATTAGATGAAAGTAACATTTTGTGAAAAATTCCCATTTTTAGGTTTTTTGCAATTATCTCTTTAAATATTACAGATACAAAAAAATTTTCTTCAGATAAATTGATCCAATTTATTTTTACTAAAATAAATTTAACCATACAATTTTGTGTTAATCTAACTCGTTTTGATTAAATTGAGAAAACATAAAAATAACTAATTTTTCTGAAAAATAAATTTAATAATATTAAAATAAATTATACTTGTAGTTGTATTAGCGAGAAAAGTTAATTTATTGAAGTAAATATTCTAGGGATAGTTTTATTTTGATTTTAACATGATAATACAATTGGCGACGGTCGCTCGCAGGTCAAATCATGTCGGTGCATGCCAAATCGACTTCGGCGTTCAACGTTATATAGATATCATGTAGTGCTATCTATAATAGTTTCGTTCTAACCGAGCAACGATTTCAGTACGTCAATATACTTTCTACCTCATTATAATTATTTTATTAGTTTTGTATAGTTATTAGTTATATAAAAGTATTCATAATGTCGTCATCTATACAAGAAATGTATCTTGTTGGGCATCATAAGCACCAAATAATAAGTAGTAAACTACCATCAAATGGAGATTGTTTAAAGGTTTTGTTTTATAACATGCGAATTTTTGGTCTTAACTTAGACACTAGTGCAAATTTAGTCATTGAAGAGTGCAATATTTTTTTGGAAAAAAGCTCGGATTCCAACACAAGAGCCCCATAAATGTAAGTTAAAACTCAAAAAGTTGTACGAATTATGGCAAAATTTATCCAAGAGTATTAATAAAACGAGTGCAGTTTTAATTAATAAGCGTTTAGAGTTTTCAAGTTCCATGAATGATTTATTTTATATAATAATCATTATATTATAATCACATAATAATGCATTAATAATAATGACCGTTGAAGAAGATAAACAGTTTTTAATCAAACAACGTGAGAAAGGACGTACGGGTTGCATGATTGGTATTGATAAAAATGGAGAAAAATTGGAAAAAACGGCGACAACAACTATTAGATAGAGAAAAAGAGACAAAACGTAAGTGTTCAGACTCTCCAACTACTTCAGCTACTGAAAGTAAGTTTTTAATATAATTAAAATAAAACTTACCATTAATTTTACTATAATATTTTTTTCTATTTATTTTAGTGAACTTCGACATATCGAATTCTGAAGAAGTTAGCAGTGAAAATGAGACCGTTCAAGAGCAAGAAACCAATATTTCAAACCCTCCAAAAAGAGCTCGTAAACAATTGTTGACTCCACGTTTAGCTGCAGCATTAGATAAATGTAAAATTAGCGAAAGAGATTGTTTACACTTAATTTATTATGGCATTTATGGAAGCTGTTTCTTTAGATCCGTTGACTTATGTTATAAACAGAACGTCTATAAGAAACCAACGTAATATTTTTCGAAAAATATATACTGAAAAAATAAAATAAAATTTCAGTAAGCTGAATGCCCAAGTAATCACTGTACATTGGGATACTAAATTACTACATGATTTAACCGGCAGACCAGTAGAAAGACTGTCTATAATTGGAACAAGTACAAATATTGAACAATTGCTGGTAGTTCCAGAAATACCAGATGCAACTGGAAATGAAGTCGCGTCAGCAATATACGACACATTACAAGACTGGAATTTAATAGAAAATGTTCAAACTTTTGGTTTTGACACAACAGCGTCAAACACTGGCAGATTGAAAGGAGCTTGTACTATACTAGAGCAGAAGTTAGAAAGAGACGTATTATACATTGGATGTCGACATCGTGTGTTCGAAATTATACCGGCAGCAGTTTTTACAAAATGTTTGTACAAAAGATTTCAAGCTAGTTGGTCTAAAATAAATACTCAAAATTTTGTTCCGGGCATAGATAGTACTGAAGTACAAGAGGTCTTCAAAAGTAACTTAGATGATATTTTAATGTCACTTCGAGCTGCCATTTCTAAAAAAATTACACCGTGAAGACTATCGCGAGATTTTGGATTTGTCAATTAATTATCTTGGTGGTGTGCCTCCAGGTGGAATACATTTTAGGAAACCTGGAGCATATCACATGCCTAGGTGGATGGCAAAAGCCATATACACTTTAAAATTATATCTATTTCGAACAGAATTTAAACTAGGTATCAAAATTAGAAGAAAAGTCGTTATTTAAAATTACGTCATTTATTGTAAAATGTTATGTAGTATATTGGATTTATGCTGTTGAGGCCGCATCTGCCCCATTAAATGACATAAAGTTTCTAAGAGAATTAAAAAAATATGAAGAAATAGATAAAATTGTGTCAGAAGTGGCCATTAGTAAATTTATTAATCACCTTTTTCTATTTAACCGATGAGTGTGCTGCATTTGCATTATTTGATGAAAGTATAGATGTTAACACTAAAGTAATGATGGCAAAGATTATAAATGAGCAAATCAATATCGATGAGCCTGAAGTTCACGCAAAAAAATTGAACTTAAAAATTAGTGAAATAACAACTTTTTTAAGCAAACCAGACAAAGAAATTTTAACGTCACTGTTAAGTCCAAAATCGGCAAATATATTTCATCTATTTAACATCGAAAACTGTTTACATATTCATCCGTCCGAATGGTTAAACTCAAGTGCTTATCTTAAAGGAAAAAATATCATTGAACAACTAAAAATTGTCAACGATTCAGCTGAAGAGGCGTAAAACTTGTAGAAGAT